GATGGTCAGCATTCGTCGACTTCACCAGTCCAAGATGACTAGAGAGGGATGTCGTGAGCTCCTGACTATCACCTCGGAGCTCAGCTTCAAGGGGAGGAGAAGATAGACGCGCCGAGGTTCCAAACACATTCTGCCTTGACTGCAAAGGAGGTTGAGTGATCCGCACTGGCTCCAAACGACCCAAAATACAATTTGGTTCAATCCTAGCTGGACTGTATTGTCTTTGTTTACCTCCATACCATCTTGGTTCACTGGCAGACTTAAAGAGTTTATTTTTCTTCTAAGTTCTTGACTGGGCCGGGTAATTGGGTTCATTTGATGCAGTCTTGTGTCTGTGAATGTAGAAAACAGAGATGGAAGAGAAGAATAAGAGTTGGAAGTTGTGGAGGCGAGTGTTTGTAGGTAGGGTCTGATTTTTAGTTTTTTCCTCCTGGAAGAAAGTATTGAATTTGGGAGTGTCAATAGTAGCAGATGTAGGAGGAACAGTTGTAAATATTGTTAGAACCCGGAGGATGAAAATCATCAATCGTCATCAGCTTTGAGTGAATCAGTAAGGATGATTGCTCCTTGTTCCTTTTTACTTTTTTTTTGTAAAGTTTTATATTCTCTTTTTCTTTCATTTCTTGTTCGCTATCAGCAGATGAATGAATTCCCCTCTCCGTGCATTGGAAACATCTGAACTTTGAGAGGATTTCAGATGGATTCCTCACAGCGTGCCCCATGAACATTTCTCAACGTGCATTGAGAACATCTCCCATACTTGTCTCTGTGGGATGTGCTTTGTGAAAAGCCCCATCATTCCGAATGAGGGAGAGAGTAGACACGGTCCTAAATCAGCTAGTGTGTGGAGTGGCATCAGTTTTAGGCTCTCTCTCTCCACGGAGTCATTGTTTGTAATGTGATTTTAGGGACTCGATTGTTAGATGAATTATGGTGTTTTTATAGTTACAGATCAAGAACATTTCTATTAGTATTATTTTGTAACGAGGATTAGATCTACGAAACCTACACCTCGCATTGATGCTAAGTAGTCCTGTGCCACCCAATTGCGACACAAAATCAAAATAAGAATTTGGTTTGTCTGTAGACTTACGGCAAATTGCTTATCAAACACAACATTAGTCTTTTCTCTTGAAACGCATTAGGCAAGAAGAAAGATACGCTTCTCATCCACTTGGATCTCCTATCCACAACTTTTTCCACAAACATGTTCCCCATGCAAATTTGGATTCAGTCCTCACAAAATCATCTTCACAGAGCTGTAAGGGACAGTGAGAATGGTGTAAGTACGACTTTGTGAGCACTGATCCAGATTCTCCCAATACATTACGGTAGTGTCTTGTGAGGAGTCTGGATTCATTGAATGCCCCACTTCAGTAGTCTGAATCCAATTAGAAGGTTACACATAAGTTTTGCACGTGTCTAGTTAATGGAGATCAACAGATTTGGTTGAAAATCTTTATTTGTTTTATTTTAGGATAAATTACAATGACCCCTTTGTAGTTTGTACTATGGGGCCAGTGACAAACCCCCCCCCCCTCCCCTTGTACTTTTTTTGGATAAACTTCCCCTGAACATTGACTGTTAGAGAAAGACCCCCTCCGTTAGCATTCTGTCAGTTGACTTAGAAAAAGATTCTCATATGAGTATTTAAAATTTTCTACATTTTTTTCCTTTTCTGTTATAATCTTCATCCCATTTACTTTGCTCTATATTATGGGCAGCTTCACAAGTTCAATCCTTTGTCACTTTGTGCATGCCCCTTTCTCATCATTATTTCTTCAATTTATGGAGTGTTAGCTTATACTTCTGTTGATTATAAGTTTAAAAAACCAGCTATTAAATGAAGAACCTATATTTCCATACGTACTTTTGCTCCATGACGTCTCTGCAAAATGTGTTTGTTTCTGCGCCTTCCGGTGTCAAGGAGGATCGGTGAGTTTGGACGAAGAGAAGAATGGAAAGAAGAAGCTTCAGATTCTGATAGCTGGAGGTGGTATTGGCGGGTTAGTCCTGGCTCTAGCAGCCAAAAACAGAGGATTTGATGTCAAGGTGTTTGAGAAGAATTTGAGTGTGGTGATAGGGGATGATCAGCATAAGATGATTATATCATCATTAAGGAGGATTCGTGGATCATGTTAAGTCTGAGTGTCTCTTTCCGAGCTCCAGTAGTGTTAGTAATCTTCCATTTTGAATGAGGAATGGCAACCAGAAGAACACGATAGAATGGAATGTGTTCAGTTACCCAGGGGATGAAGTTGCAGTCAAGAGACCCAATTAGCCTTTCGGTTACAATATTAGACACTGCCAATCTACAAAATTATAAATATGAGCTTCCTTCAAGGAATGGTGTTATTTTAACTAAAAACATTCCATAACAAAGATCTGAGTTAGACCAATGCAGTGAATGCCAGAGATTGCACTCAATTTAGGGAATGCCATTAAACTAAATTCAAAGATGAAGGATACAAGTTATATTTAGATTTTAAACGAACTAGATATTAAAAGAAAAAAAAAATACAAGTTATTCAAAGATGAAACTACGAATGAATAAATTGTCTCCACACCAAAGAGCATAACTTACTGTCACAACTCCCAAAGGAGAAAACATCACCATTTATACTTGTAACATATCATTGGCTTCATGTTTACTCCTCTTCTTCTTTTTCAACCTGCAATGTCACTCTTTTGAATCATCCAATCCTCCATGTTCAACCTCCACAGTCTTCCTTTCTTTTTATCCTTTCTCTTCTCCTCATAAATTTCTAAGCCTCCTCTTCCTTCTCTACTGTTTCCAAGCAACTTTTCTAGCGTTTGCGCTCGAATCATCTAGTTTTCAATTCTCTATGGAGTAGGACCAGCTTGTTGAAGGAAGCGGAAGCGCATCTCAGGTAGGCAGAAATGTCTTGTGAAGCACCGACATCAGCTCGGCCCGCCCGGGAATATAGTCATTGCCCCCCCCCCCCCTAAAAAAAAGGGGGGGGGGTCCAACGGCTAGTTTCAGCTTTTTGGGGGTATTTTATAGAAATACCCCTCAACATTTACAAAAAACCATATTAGGGGGCTATTTGTGTATTTTGCTTATGGCGGGTTGAGAAAATGACATAAATGCCCCCCAACAGCTATATAACAACTAGTTTAGGGGGGCACTTTGAGTAAAGTTATAAATAAATTTACAATGACCAAAATACCCCTCCCAACAACTAAATAACAAATAGTTTTTTTGGTATTTTGGATAATTGAATTATGTTCAGTTCCTATAAATAGCCCATTAGCCCTATCCAACTATCCTCCACCATTCTCATCACACCAATTCAACAATCAGTGAATCAACATTCAACAATTCTCCTATTAAGTTATTACTTATTCTCTTAATTTCTTCAGTCTTTCCTCTCTTAGTCTCTTTTAGTCTCTCATACATTCTCTGCAATATGAGTGAACTCTGATAGTCTCATAGTCTGATTGGTTTATTGTTTGATTTTCCAAGTTACCAATTTGGGGGGCTTGGAGACTTGGACGTTGTCATGTTGAAAGGTTTTAATCGTTGAAATCAAGTTGGGAATATGGGATTCTAAACCGGCAATCTGGGATTCTGAGGTAAGTCCAATTAAATTATTTTTTTTTTCGAATTTGAAAAAGAAAATGGCCAGCTCTTCCCAAAACCCCAAGTTTAGTAACCCGATTTAGAGAATATTTAAAATAGATGTTGAGGGGAAGGGAAAAAGATCAGCTTGCCAAAAATGTAGAAAAGACTTTAGCTATTGTAACAAGGGTGGTATTGGTCATTTGATTATACATTTTCTTACGCATGAGAAGGAAGAAGAAATAACCCACAACTTAAATGAATTTTTGAAATAATATTAATGGAAAATAAATTTTAAAAATATCGGGAGAAGTTGGAGTCTCAGAGAATATTTCTCGCCACCAATCCCACCATGGCACATGATCCATGATCTACTAACCCATTCGGTATCTACAAGCTATAGTTCCATTGGAGTCTTGTTTAGTTGTTTTAGTGTAGGACCTACAAGTACCACACTACGTCACTACCACTTTACCAACCTACCAGGGTTGGCTAAATGCGGTTATTAATCATGGTGCAGAATATAGATTACAACTTTACAATTACAAGACAAAAGAGGGCATGATACTACAACTACTACAGTAGTACATACAATGGATATTTGTTTTTTCACTTGAAGCAGATGATGAAAGTGTGTGTGAATGCTTTCATCATAATGTATATGTAAATTTTGTTTAAATTGTAAATTTTAACAAATAACCCGTACTTTTTTTATTTTGCCAAATTATTATAAATTTTGTTTTAATTTATTTGCTATTAATGTAATTTTGTATTTTTAATTTGTAACTATATAGCTATATAGTCTATAATTTTATATTATATTTTGTATATTTTATTAATTTATTCCATTTTTATATTTCATTCATCCAATTAGGAAATTTATAAAGTATCCAACCATTATATATTTCATTTCAATATTTGTATAATTATATGCTTTGTAATTTGTATCATTATTCATTCAAATTTAAATGAAATAAAATTCTTAAATTCCTATTTGAATTGTTTTATACTTATCCAATGATCCTGCATCCCTGATATGACAATAATCCATTCAGTGAGTCTATCCTGATTCGGCCTAGGCCCAAGGCCCGCCCTATGGCCCAACCCACAGCACGACCTACAGCCTGGCCCAGCCCAAGTTCGTAGCATGGCATGGGCTCGCCTGGGCCTAGAATGTGGGTCGTCTCAGGCTGACCCCCAAAATTTCCATCGAGGAGGGCGGCATGACCCATGACGACCCACGGGCCAGCACAGCACGGCCCACTTTACACCTCTAGCCCCCCTGCCCGGCCCGGCCAATGATCACTACGACGTAAGATGTTACATTGATGGATGGGATAATATTGGCCTTTCGATATGTAAAGGTCGATCGACTTTAGCTTCTGATCGAACGGTAGATTATTGATGATTCCATTACTGCAAAGACTACTGTACTAAAACCTCTAAGCCCGCCAAAGAAGATGAATGTTAAACCCTAGCAAGGAACCAAATCCCTGGATTCTCCCTCGCATTCGAAGTTCTCTAGGAGTACAGGCCTTCGTTAGTTCAATCATGGCTTCCGCCTGTAACAGATTCGTCAACAGAACATCTCTCGCATCCCTCAAATCCGCCATTAAATCGAAAGTTCTAGCACCTGCGTTCGACGGAGCTGCAACGTCGACATCTTCAAGAGTCCTTCTTTCCAATCGTTCCACTTCTAGATCTCCTCTTGTTCGATCTTCTTTGCTTAGCAGGTATTTATATTACCAATTAGAACCCTTAATTCACATCTATTTCACGCGTCTGCTTGGATATCGTTTTTCTTGGTTTGTCTAATTGTTATTTGGTTGGGCTTTCTCTTCCATAGATCTCCTGTGGAACTTGGATCTGCACAGTCTCTGTTGCCTCTCCACAGTGCGGTTGCCGTTGCAAGGCTCACTTCATGCCTGAGCTCGAACTCGAGGAGTTGCCGCGCTCTCTCTCAGGGTACCCTCTGTCGTACTTCTCCCGGACTCTAATGTTTTTTGTTTTGAGTGTGAGTAGCGTCTTCTCCTTCTGTGCTTTTATCAATAATTTTGTCGAAATTCAGTTGATGTTCTTATGTTAATGACTTCATTTAATTAGTCCCTCAATGTTGCCATAATAAATGTGAGCTTCTTGTCGCTCTAGCTGAATTTTAACATTTAGATTTCTATAATACTTGTTTAATTTTTGGTTGCCGTACTGGATAGACTCTGCAGTTTAGAGTTCTTAGAACGTTGTTGTTAGTGTAACACACCCTTTCTTAAGTAATGAGGGGAAATGTCACTGCCTTAGTCATCCAATAAGAGCTTGCATTCGGAGGTGAATTGAGATGGTAAATGCACGTTAACTAAATACCTAAGTAATTAACTCCATTACTTTAGTAATAGTACCATTTTAGGATCATGGTCAATGCAATGAAGTCTCTTGGTTGTTCTTTCTGGATGGTGAAACTTGTGTACAAAAAAAAAAAAGGACGCTTTATTACTAAGGGTAACGTGCTTGTGTTTCCTTGCTTGAGTGTTGAATACTTTGACGAATGATGGCCTTTTGGTTTGACTGAAGATTCTTATGTTTGCCTTGATGGGTTCAGTTTGAACTTTGAAGCAGAAATTCCATGTACTTATTTCTGTTTATTTTTTCCTTAAACATCCTCTTCTTCATTATAAAACGTTTCTAAGTTGGTCTTAGGAAATCAGTTCAGCACCAAATTGGTTTTTTGACCTTTCCTTGTTGCCATCCCATACTATGGATGTCTGAGATGAAAAGACTGCAACTCTCTAATCTCTGTTTTGATTCTGATTGTTGTATCATACTTTTCATACTTCCTTTTTTTCTTGTTATTGTTATAACATAATTCTTAGATGGAACTAGAGAAAAGAGATTAAGTGGAGTAGTGGGCATATAAAATTATAAATTTAGATTGGTCAAGTGTAGCGATAACCTGTTTCCATTAGTCTGAAGAAATGGTTCAGACCCGGGCACACTGGGCATGTTTGCCAGTGAAATCTTCACCAGACATCTATTCAGTATATAGTTTTCAGGGCACATTAGGAACCTTGCCTTGCAAATGGTGTCTCTGGCACATGCTACAGTTCTCTGGTCCTTAATCGATAGTCAACCAAAATCCGTTACATCAATTGGCGCCGTCTGTGGGAATACGTTACAAAAAGCTAAGTTCTCATCCTATAAAAAGCTAAGTCCTCTTCTCCCAGAAAGCTAAGCCCTCACTTTTTAGAAACTGAAGTTCTCGCTTTATAGTTTCCATTTTTTATGAACTCAAAGACTATGCAGGGAGATAACAGACTAAGTAGCTCTAAGGCGCCCACCCGGCGGCTTGGCAGCCTGGCACACGCGCCGACCTGGTGGTCTGGCCCAGGCGCGAACTAACGAATTGATAAAAGACTTCCTCACCCCTAGAAGACCAAAGGCCAAGCTAACAATTGACCTCGACATGGGCAAGGTTCAGGAGTGGACTATGAGTCTTTCCCCGAAGCCTAAGGGCCACAACACTGCATAAGACCCATTCGCCTCTTCGGCATGGGCAAAGTTCAGGAGTGGACTACTGCATAAGACCCAGTCGCCTCTTTGGCATGGGCAAAGTTCAGGAGTGGACTATGAGTCGCTCCCAAAGCCTAAGGGCCACAATACTGCATAAGACCCAATCGCCTCTTCAGCATGGGCAAAGTCAAGGAGAGTGGACTACGAGTCGCTCCCAGAGCCTAAGGGCTAAACTACCAAATTGGCGGAGAGCTCGGCACATGGTCAGCCCGGCACCTCACAGGCAACTCGGCACCTAGTCAGCCCAACACCTCACAGGTAGCTCGACACTTCAAGTCCCAGTCGCCTCCTCGACATGGGCACTTAAGACCCAGTAACCTCTTCGGCATGGACAAAATCAACAAGAGTGGACTATAAGTCGCTCCCAGAGCCTAAGGAACTGAATCAGTGCTTACGGGCTCGTCGAATTACGGGCCAAAAAGAGAAATCTACTCCCTTCGCCGAGTTACTTTCATCTCGGGAGTGGGGGGCAAATGATGAGGGCGGATTTGGCCTTCCAGTGACACTGTGACACCTGGCACCTCGTGACAACTAGGCAGCTCGCCACTTACAGGCAGCTCACCCCAGGCAGCTCCCCATCATGCAACACTTCACAGGCAGCTCGCCACCATGCAGCAGGCAGCTCGCCATCATGCAACACTTCATAGGCAGCTCGCCATCGTGCAACACTTCACAGGCAGCTCGCCATCATGCAACACTTCACAGGCAGCTCGCCACCATGCAGCAGGCAGCTCACCACTAGGCAGCTCGCCACCATGCAACACTTACAGGCAGCTCGCCACAGGCAACTCGCCCTAGGCACCTCGCCACCATGCACCTCGCCACCATGCAACAGGCAGCTCGCCATCATGCAACACCTCATAGGCAGCTCGACCACCGTGTGATAATTCCTAGGAGCTCACCACCGTACCCCGCATTTTACGGGATTGTGATTTACGGCTATATTAGCTCACCCACTACCCGATTTAGGCGGAAATGGGCCACCTTACTGGTTGGTGGCTTTATCCTCACTTAACACGAAAGCAGATCCCATCACAGCAGGAATCCAGGAACTGTTCTACCAAACCCACGAGGACTCTAGTATATAAAGGCCTTACCCCCTAGGGGCGATGAGGAGATGGTAGCCCCTGCTCTCTAGCTCTCTCATTTTCTAATATCATTCTCAGCTCACTACTGAGTGCTGACTTAGCCATCGGAGTGACCTTGCCGGGTAAACACCCCCGGGTTCTCTGATTCAGTTCATGCAGGTCCCTCAGTTCCCACCGTCTACAAAGATGAGTAGATCATCTCCAGCAGGAAGTAGCCGGTTCAGTTCCCGTCGTTGTTGGTAGCTAGATCACCTCCTGCAGGGAGCAGCCGGGTTGCACTACACTAGGGAGCTCCACTTCAGCCCCCGAGTCATTGGCCACTTGGGAGCAGACGAGATGACGAGGTACTTAGCCAAAAAAAAAATGATACGTGACCAGAATCCGTTACATCAGCACTCATAGAGAATTTAAATGATTCTTTGTACATCAGTGCATGTGTCTGAAATTAGATTGTCAAATATTTTATGCATCAAGTATAATACTCTTCTGCAGAGATAGAACATCTAATTTCCTAGTAGAACATGAAAAGTTAAAAATTCCACTTACAAAATTCTCCATTACACATGCATATATCACCAAAGGTCAAGCCATGCTTGAGTGCAAAGTTAAATCTAGAAACTGTTTTGGAAATGGTTCAGCTTCTTTGTATGACATGGGAGTCAAATTCTACAGCCTGTGTGACCAAGACCATTGGCACCACAAGGTGCTCATACCATCCATAAGTATAAATAGAGCACCATTTTGAAGTTGCAAGCCAAGTATGAAATTTCTATTTGCCTAATAACCTGTTTCCATTAGTCTCAAGAAGCATATAATTTTCCATTCTGACCTCCCCCCCCCCATGATCTTATATCTTTCAATAGGATCATGTGGTTGACTCATTGACAGCTGCCTTTTCCTTCTTAATCTGTTTCTTTGGTAGAAGTTGCTTATCATTTTGGAATTATTAGAAGACTAGTTAGACATAGCGATATTCTCTTTTAGAAGAAAGACGTGATTCATAATCTGAACACTATCCTCTGGAAATATGAGAAGGGGGATTGGAAGTTTTCTTCTTTTGCCAGCAAGAGTCATTTACAGCTTCTGCAATATCATTTTAAGGACCTGTTCAACACAAAGATATAAAGTAATTCTAGTGCATGTTAAAGTATGCTTTAATTAAATTGCAATCTAAATATAGAAATGCAATGCACTATCTTTTGGGATGACCTCTGAAATGGTATCTTTTGTTTATGTGAGAAGTCATGGTTTCAATTTTTTACTCATCTCCTGAGACCAACTTCGAGATATTTGATTGCTGCAGGCACATGAGGTCCCCAATGCTTGAAAGAAATAAGCTGGGCTTTACAGGACCTGCGAATTATTGATTTACAGCGTCATTGTCAAGTATCAACATTCTGTTAAAAGACCGACCAGTTACATATTTAAGAAGACCTTAACAAAGATGTTTCTAGTGCTCCTGTTCATTATCCCGAACTTCAGTCATCCTTCAATTTTCAAAATATGATTGAATGGGATATGTCATTCAGAGGTGTTAATTTTCTGACAAAGGGTACAAAGAGTTGTTCTTTTTTGGAAAGTATTTTCTTAAGTGTTGGAGGTTCCTTAGTGGAAAAGGTCTGCATTAAAATTTTAAATTGAATCTTGATTTTTTTTATTAACCATATACATCAAAATCTCATGCCTTTTATTATTTTTTTTCGTGAAAAAATGTGACCTTATGATGCTTCAAACTCCCATAATGGAACTACTGTCATTTCTTAAACAAAATATCAGTATATCACTAAGAAAACAATGAATGAAACAACAAACTACACACCCCTTTCGGTGCATCTGCAAAACCAATTGAGCGGAAATCTGATATGAAGCAAACTACCTTGCCAATTGGTAGCTTGGCAAGTTAACACATGAGCTACCCTATATTTGACATGAGCATCTCAGTGAAAATTTAAAAAGGAAAAGAAAAAGGAAGAAGAGATAGTACTTTTGTCAGCGATACGCATGTTCCATATACTTTCCTAGTATTTAATCCAGTACACCCAATATCAAGCAGTAGAAAGACACATGAATGTGGTATTATCAGATGAACATAATGGCATAAGATTTTAGTTATTCTAGATTCTATAGAATTGATTAGAATTCCTAGTACTAGGCAGTGAAATGCTGCATATACATCTTTTCAAGGGGCCAGTGTGGCAGTGCCTAAGCAATGGAAAATCTTCCAATTAAGTACCTGAGGTAACATTTCTTGTGAGTTGTTTTTGCAGTATGACATGTGATGGAATCTATAAGGTGCCTAGAATGGAACCTGGAGAGAAGTTCCTTTTGTCTCTTTATTCATACAACTATGCTTGATTATTTATGTAGAACTTTGTGTTTCTCATACCTATAAAACATCTATTGCCTCCTTGCTTTAAACTGTGTTGCTGTTCCTTTTGCTTATTAACTTCTGGTCTTAGTCAAATGTAAGCTGGAAGAATCTCATGGTTGTAATAACACACCCCAAACCATCCAGTTTAGGTTGTCAATAGTCACTATATTTTAGTTTTGAACAAGATAGCAGTAGCAAGTGCCCACTAAGCAGTGGTTTGAATGGAGAAACCCTGAAAACATAAGATTGACCCTGGCGAAGTGACAACATGAAACAGAGTAACAAGCCTTTTCCAGTGAGTCTTATACAATACCTTAATGTAGTCATGGTGAACTTTATGCCTAAGGACCAGAGAAATAAAAAGTGATTCAATTCAAACTTGCTTCATAGATAAAAGGTGAGAAACTTTGGTCTTTTGGGTATCACCAACTATCCACAGGATTAGTTTCTTCTTTTGGTTTCCAAGAAAGGCAAGTCCTAAATGCAACTTGGAAGAAAAGTTGAAGTTTCTGAGAAAAGCACTCATTATTTTAAATGGAGCAAAAGGCACCGTATGGAGCATGCATCATTTGAAGCACCAATTTTTGCAGGCATATGGTACACAAAAGCTGTTTGTTTAGCCCCTTCCTGTCTTAACCACCATACCCCCCCCCCCCCCAAAAAAAAAAAAAAAAAACCTTGTGTAAGAACCACCTAGATTATATTTTATCGAGGACCAACATAGATTGTTGAGTTAGACACTTTTATAAGAGCAATCTAAATCATATTTTTTCTAGGATCAACATACATTTAAGTATGGAGTGTTGGGGGCATATGGGTTGGACTTGCCTACAATATTTACTCTCATAATTAGTCTTTCCTAAGAGATGCCTTAGTTTTTCTAAAGTCACATCTTCCTGGTTATCTAGCCCATAACACTTAATAGGTTAAACAAAATATGATAATGACTGCTGTCTTACAAGTGTTATGCAACACTAGAGAACCATCATTTCCCACTAGGTGACCTTGAAAGTTTAGGGGTTTGATTAGAAGCCTGAACCAGATATTTCCAATGTGTCAATTTTAGTTGAGAAGTATTGGAAATTTGTTTGTTTTGTACAATTTAGTGATATTCATAGTAATAATTGTATGGTAACTTAAATTGCTCCTTTCCCCAGATGGAATTGATGGTACGTGAAACAATTTGCCTCATGCTATATCCTAAGGTGGGTTGCTGTTATATATGCTTCCACTGTATATTGGCTTGAAATGCATGTTTGGTTTCAGCATCATAGTTGGTTCATCATTGTTCAAATTCATTATTGATTGTTCTGTAGAAGTTTCTGTAAATTTATGTGTGTCGTGAGGGAATCCTAGGCTTGATGCCTTTCCTTACACTTAAAACCACCTCCCATGTGGAAACATTGTTGAGAATCCTTCGTCCTGGTTTTATTTGAAGTGTACTAGTGTAATTATTTGTTCCTCCCAAGGGTTTCTGATGAAAGCCGTTCTTTGCTTGCATCAGAGTTTGGTTTGTCAGTGCCAAGGTGATGTTGTAAGCAGACCACCACCATGATAAATCATCATTTCTGGCAACTAAAAACAAGTAAACATGCAAGGTTGTTGGTAGTTCCCACTTCTCACATGTATTTCTCAGTTCATGAAAGCTATGTGCAGAACTTTCTTAAAAGGCGGTAAAACTGGTTTCATTGCTTTCCTTTCCCATTGAGTTCAGTTTCAATAAATTATATTTCAAAGAGAGTTGAAGTGGTGGTCTTTATTTATCTGATAATAGGTCTTACACTTACCGTATTCTTTTCTTTATTTATTCATTACTCTCTCTCTCTCTGTACACACACATCCAGGACTGTTTCTAGTCTGGGGACTTGGGACCTGTCTACGGATCTGGAGTTCTTTAACTTGCCACGTGTAAGATGTTGGAAGGAATACGATTGGGTGTTAATGGGTGTGAACTGTGATGTATCAAAAATCAGAATTGGATTTTGGACATTACTGGAAAACCTTTTTAACTTTTGCAATTCACGGGGGGTGGTGTATTGTGGGTAGGCGTGGGCAGGAGATCCGGAGTCGTAAAAGTGAAGTAAATATCAGAGGACTGTAACATTCTGTACAAGGTGATATTTTGTACAGCTGATCTTCCAAGCAAAGGCAAGGCCAATTAGATGGACCAAGCACATACTGGCGTCCTGTGTTGCAGCCTTGCAGGAAACCAAGAATGTGCTGCATGTCAGGTCTTTTGGTGATAATCCCGATATGCTCAATATATTTAAACCAAGTTCCATGTGATATGTTGCAGAACGGTATACCTTACTGGAGACTCCGGTCCGTAACATTCAATGGGTGTTCGGTATTCCTGTGACTAAGAGCCAAGATAAAACAGCTTTTTTTTTTTTTTAAAACAATTGGAATGGGCATATGGGAGAGTGATCGTTGAATGCTTGGCCCGTGTCAGTTGGGGCGTAAGGATGTCAAACTGTCAATTGGACGGGATTTTGTCCAATCCAATCCGGTCCAATATGAGTCCATTATAGATGGACCAGGTCTAATCCAATCTGATGAATACTCTGGGCCATTTTGGACCATTCCGATTTAATGTCTGGACCATTCAACCGTTCAATTTGTTCAAAATGGTTTTAATTTACATTGGTTCCAACCCAAATCTGTTATCTTTATTCTTATCTTCTATCAACAGATGGGATATTGGTTTAATCCGATCCAATCCAATATAAATTTATTATGGATGGATTAAGTATAGTTTAATTCAATAAATACTTTGGACCATTAAGTCTTATTGACAGTGTTTTCAAACTGTTGTTGACCCAGACGTCGGACTGTTTGGCATAAAAATCATTCAGGCAACAACATGGTTAGAAAAGCGCTGACCTGGGTGGTCCATTCGACCTGGATAGCGGTTTGCAAGAGATTAGAGAGTAACTGAGACAAGACCCATCACAAACCACTGTTGCTGCTGCATCTGTTGTCACCATTGTTGTCGCTGGTCGGTGAAGTCAGATCCTCCTCTTCTTTCTCTTCCTTTATTCCCTCATTCCTTGATTTCTTCTCTCCTTCCTTTCCTTTTTTCCCTTTCTTTCTTTCATTCATTCTATTCTTCTTGCTTCCTTTCTTCTTTCTCAGCCGACAACCACATAATCTCTCTTTTCTCATACTGATAACAGTCTAATAATCCAAACCGCCTAAACCGTTTAACCCAGACAGTCGAACCGTCTGGGTAAGGGTGTCCTTGAAGGATGAGTACACAATACAGAGAGTCTCTCCGTTCTTGCATTTGAGAGGGGTTATTACTTATTATATTTTAAATTCTGCCTTGGATGGTTGAGCAAAGAACGTGCTACTTGGAGCTTTCTGATAAAGCTGTCGTCGTTTGACTCCAGCTTTTAGATTAGCCCCTAGTGCCTGGTTTAAGAAATTTGTCGGTCCCAAATATGATATTATTATTACCATCTTCCAACTCTTAAGAGGGGGTGCCATGCTCGTGTATAGCATGTGATTTGCATCTTCAAGCACAGCTGCGTTGGCGTTGCTTCTCCTTTATTATTATTTTTCTCTTGTTCTGCAGCTTCACTGAGTTAGTCGTCTACTCTTTTATTTTGTGGTGGATATGAGATAACTCAGAAACACATATTAGGCATTGTTTGGGGATCAGCCAGCCAAATATGTGATTGGCCACGGCGGAGAAGTAGATTACTGGCTGATGGTTGACGTTATGGGGAACACGAACGCTGTGCTTGTTTTCTATTACGTGGACACGGTCTCACTTGTTCAATTCTTTAAGTCTGTCTTGTTTACTTACTGGATCCTTTAATTAATAAAAAGGCAAAGGTCTACTCTCTCTCAATTCACAATCTTTTTGATTGTTAATCTCATTTCACGTGAGGTGAACCCACAAAGAACTCCCCTCCTTGAGACATAGGCACCTTTTCCAATTTATAAAAATAAAGAGAAAGTACACCCCCCCTCCCCAACGCACTCCACATTAAAACTTCTTTTGTTCAGCACCTTAATTTCAAGAGCCCACTCCTTTCGAGAACAGTGTAACTAGTTATTCATATGCTGCAAGTCAATGAGCCATAGCTTGCGATTCAACCTATGAGCAAGTTATTCATAGGCCAATGTTGTGAAACCGTGGTTGATCTCGGACCGTTGTCCCGAAATTGGTTAGGGTATTGGTTCCATTTTATCGATGAACCGTTATTTTTTTCAAAAATTGTTGAATTGTTCGATAATCCATGAATCTTACTGGTTCAACCATTGACTTGTTTGACCTAAACAATAATTTTCAAGCTAAACTGCTGACCCAATCAATAATCGATGGCCAAAGTGGTTCCAGCTCTGGATTGGATTTTTGGAGTTTACATCTCCACCCTACAAGAGGCCACCCCACAATGCCCCACAGTACATTCCTGCCATGTATTGGGAACATCTCCCAATGATAATACTAGAACATGATATCATCATCATGAAATATATCCAATATACGGCAGGGATGTGCTGTAGGGCATTGTGGGGCGGAGATGTGATCTCAGATTATTGCCCCTCCCCTCCGACTTGCCTAATTATGAGCCCCGACGCAATCTAACTGTGGACCCATTGCCCAAGAACTTGGTGGGCCCCACCCACACCCCCAGCACCTCGTTAACTGAACACACGTGTCTATGATCTATAGGGGCTTAAGGTCAGTCATGTGCAGTAAGTGCCTGTGGTCCTGTGCGTCGCTCTCGCTCATCACGATAATAACGTACCAAGTTTTACCAATCACCCAAGTATTAAAGGAGAGTTTGGAAAAACATATCTTACTTTAATAAGACCACGGTATTGATACCCCCGTACCACATTCTTAGCAAAGTACAAACACTATATAATACCTTAGTTTCGTATCTTCATTACATTCTCTACCCACCTTCAAGTACCAATTTCTGCTTCTTTTTCTCCTTATTAATCATCTCTGTCCCTCCATAAATTTCATATATATATATATATATATTTTCTCTTTTCTGATTTCTACTTTCACATATACAATGTGATGGTTCCCGCTGCCGAAGATGATTTTAATGACACTAGCGGTGCTTATGCCTTGTGGTATTGAATCGTAGGTTTATTTTCCAAACTGAACCGGTATCATTGGTTTTTTGCAAAATTGTGAATTGAAACTAAACTATAATCAATTGATTATTCAACTAATCTATTTAGCTTTTGACTGACTCGGGTTTTTGATTTTTTATATTTATAAAAAATATAAAAATATCAAAGCAATCAATCCAATTGATCGGAATTTCCTGTTCAATTTTATCGATTTGATATTTTTTTTTTAGTTTTTAATGAACACCCCTAAATGAAATCATGTTTATTGACCACATGATCATGCATGTGTAAGTTTATATCTTCTGCCAACAAAACACATTCCAACCTTCTACCAACTTGATCTTGCACTGTACATCTCATCATGAGACTGGGACCCATCATAAAAGTGGGACCTTCTATGTATGAGATGTGCGGTGTAAATCATATTGATAGAGGGTTGAAACATATTTTGTTGGCAGGTGATCCGGGCTCTGCATGTGCCCCTTCTCTCTCTGCCTCGGGGATCACACAATTCACAATCTACCGATTCAACCCCACAAACCCCATATTTCACTTACTTTTTGAGGTCTGAAATGGCTGGGCAACATTTTTAGTTCTACTAGTGAAAAGAGAAAAGAACCCCACTTCAACCCGTGAGAAACGAGGGTGTCTTTGTCTTTTAACATGTCTACTCTTTGTACCCTCTATAATTTAGAAAGGGTCATACACCGAAACTCCCCCAATAATTTTATAGATTTACTCAAACTTCTTATATAATTTTCATTTTACTAAAATATCCCTATTGTTTGTTTTATCACCTGAAAATAATAACGTGATCACTTAAAATGAGTGAAAAATATTCAAAGGCATAAATCATAGTTTTTTAATTTCAAAAGTACCTTTATAATATTTTTTATACAGTAAATAAAATCAAATAGAGCTGTTGCTTGTGTGTTACTAGTGGCTAAATGGTATTTTTATTTCCTTTTTTAAATTAAATCTATTCAAATGAATATTAGGGTCATGAAGGTCGATTAAGTTCTAGAGGAGTACTTTAATAAAACACAGATTTCAGTAAATTCACGAAATTATAGAGGTGTTTTAGTAAATGAACCCATTTAAAAACGATTTTCATTTCTAATTTTGTTCTCTTGGTACGGCTCTTTATCCGTATAGAAAACTTACGTGGTCTGCATTCCAGCTGGCAGAGTTCTAAGTCAACCTCGTGCGTACACGTAGGATCCCCAAATAAACTCATCGTACGGACAGTACTTACTGTCCTCCCAAACCCCAACCCCACTGCAGTCTCTAACTTTATTACTACGTGCCGTCACGATCTCCTTTCAACAGTCCTGCTTAAAAAGGATGCCAGCTGGATCTAGCTGTCCGGACAATCGTCCCCAGTCAGGACTAACGGTAACGGAACGGAACGGAACGGCCCCCTTTCTTTCCCCTCTCCAGATTCCAGTCTCCTCTCGCGTTTTTCCTGTTTTCTTCTACGAGGCTGGTGCCCACATGCTTCGCATCAACACGTGTACTTTATTTAAATAAAAAACATATATTTCTATGTATTTACTAAAATGCCCACAAACTTCTTAAAATTGAACATATCCCTGAAGTGTTCCCAGGATTCTCGCCGCAGTATTACTATTACTATGTGTCTGTCTATATCCATTAATTCACGTTACACTACTAAACAGATAATCGACTCCAATAAGGGTATAATAGACATTTTAGAATCTCATTTTTATTTTGCTTTTTTCCCTTAAATAATAGTTCTATATATAAAATATAGGGAGTGGCGGTGAGCGGCCGTGAGTCGGTGAATCATGTTCAAAAGTATATTTCTCGTGAACATCACCTCTCTACAAAATTTACGTTAGATTCTTCAAAATTGTTAAATAGATAAAAAAATTATTTATTTAATTAATTACTGAAATGGTTTAAGTATATTGGGAGCTGAAGCTGAGAAGTGAGAAGCTCCCACTGCATGGGTACTCCCTGAACGTTCCTCTGCCTGCTGGTGTGGGTACGAAATGATGTCTCCGCAGAGAGAGTTTGAGAGCTCAGTGCAGAAACCCTGATCGAGTGATCGTCTTTACAGTCAGCGAGCGCCCATAATTCTTCACCTTCCTCTGCTTGTCTTCGCCGGAGATGGAGATGTACGGACTCCCAGCACCGGATTTCTTCCGCATCGACGACCTCCTCGATTTCTCTAATGACGGCGATCTCTTCTCCTCCTCCTCCTCCTCCTCCTCCTCCTCCTCCTTCACCCCCGACCCCGACCTACTCCACCTCCCTCCGACAGAAAATAACACAGGGAACCGCCCTTCTGCCACCGCCGACACCTCCAACCGCTCGAACAGCTTCACTGACGATCTCTGTGTCCCTGTATGTACCTCTACAACGCCCTATCTCCGAAAATCGTTCGTTCTCTTGTTCTTGTACCTCATTGTCATCGGTGCTGATTTTCGTTTATTCAATTATTATTTACGGTGTTTGTTTCATTTTTTCTTTCAGAGCGACGACGTAGCGGAGTTGGAATGGCTCTCCAAGTTCGTCGACGACTCCTTCACCGATTTCTCTATGAGCGAGACCGTTGCAACCACAAACTTCCGTCCCGACACTGCTTCAGTTCCCGGCCGGGCTAGGAGCAAACGATCAAGAGCAACTTCAACTCACATCAGCTGGACTTCTTTGCCGGAATCTAACGTTCCGGCGACCGGCAAGTCCAGGCTGGGTAAAGAGAGTTCGACGGCTTCCCCAGACATCACAAGAGAGCAGTTGGCGATAGCGTCGTCGTCGTCGTCAGGGGTGCGTAAGTGCACCCACTGCGCATCGGAGAAAACACCGCAATGGCGTACGGGACCACTGGGGCCGAAGACGCTGTGCAACGCGTGTGGCGTACGGTACAAGTCGGGCCGACTGGTTCCGGAGTATCGTCCGTTGGCGAGTCCGACCTTCGTGTGGAGTCAGCACTCCAACTCTCACCGGAAAGTGATGGAGCTTCGGCGTCAGAAAGAGATCCTCAGGCAGGAGGAGAGCAGCAACCAATACCATCACCAGTTCTCTTCTCTTCATCATCACCCTGACTTCAAGGTGTGTTGATGTGGATTATCACGTGTGTCTAAACTCTCGTCGCAAAGAGGTCACGTCACGTCACGTCACGTCAAGGGTCAAGTCAGACAGTCTCCTGGTTATAAAACTTGTTAGATCGTTCTTTCTGCCTTCTTCCCTCTTCTTTATTCCCCCTTCCGTTTCTTTCACAAATTCATGAATTTTAAGCTTCAACCACGAGTAGCAGACAGGTTTTTAATTCTTCCCTTTGATTTTGATTTTTATTCTGATAAGCTGGCAGATCCGATTCATATCACAATATCGATTTCATAAAATTTAAAATAAAAAATCGAGATTAAAATGTTTACACTCTAAACATTTTAAAACAAATAGATACATTTCACAATTATAATCGAAGCATTAATTGCATTATCAACTCCTTATCAATGCAATTAAATATATCTTTTTTAATAATAGATATGATTAAGTAATAATTCAAGCAATAATCACCTGTCCGATTATTTAGTTGGGTTTTCATTATCCTAACTTATAAAAAATAATCCAATTAAATGACTTGCATAAAAGACGATAAAAGTAATCTAAAATATTTATTCCAAGGAAAATAATTACATTATGTATCCAAATAAATTAAAATTGATGCCATAAAAATTAAAATTGAAGGGTTTTTGTTCATCCCTTTTAAAAAAAGAAATTTTTCACAAAATTAGCAAAGCAAATCTTTTAACAACGCCAATTTTCTAAGAAAAACAACCATTAAAAAAGAAATTATAAAAATAAAAATATCTCATCAATGCAAAAAAAAAAAGATATAATAGATAAATACAGAAAAACACAAGTGTTTTTTTTTTAAAGCAAAACACAATTATTAACATATGAATAAACTGTAACAAATAAGAACTTAGGTCCTGTTTGCTTGGTGGGAATAAGGGTCTGGAATTGGAATCACATTCTATTCCATTTGGAATGGCATTATTCCATTTGAGGGAATGGCAATTTCTTGACCCTCCCTTGGGAATTAAATCCCATTCCCGCTGATTTCAATTCCCATTCTCATTTCTGTCTGAACCAAACAGACTATTGGAATGGACCATTCCGATTCCAAATTTTCAATTCCAATTACGAACTAAATGCATCCTTTTAAAAATAATATATGATAATTCCCAACAAGTTTCAATCAAGGGAAAGAAACAATGGTGATCAGAAAAGGAAGAAATGATTAGTGGTCATTGGGGTGAAAGTTGTTATTTTGGTCGTCCGTCATAGTGGTGAGGTTTGTGTAGGGAGTTCAAATCAGCCCCTCACAAGATTGCCCCCAACAACGTCTCACAGCACATCCTGCCATGTATTGGGAACATCTCCCGATGATAATACTTAAAATAATGAAGTCATCATTGAGAGATGTTTTCAATACGTGGCTATAGAACATTGTGGGGGCTGATTTGATCTCTTGAGTAGGAATCAGGACAGAGAGAGTTGGGGGCGAAAACCACACTTCCCATTCCCCATTTATACTTGTCACCATAAGACACCACACAAATCATATTGGAACCGTGTTGGAACAGTTTTTATTGGCAGAAAATCGCAACTAATGTATATGTGATGAGGGTGTTGTTTTACGAGAATAAATCTGAATTTACTCCTCATGAAGCGTTCCTCATACGGTCGCACCATTTGCAACAGGATATCGACAATATCTTCCAATCCAGGACAGCAACGTGATCTAATGTAAATATGAGAAGAACAGCCTATGCGAGAAAGAAACCAAATCTCTCTCATAATTAATCATTCTCAATCCTCACACAGTCTAATCTTCTTGCAACGAATTGGGATCGGCTACTCACAGCTACATCCTGTCGTCTGCTTGGAGCATCTACCATGACAAGTACGGTTTATCAGGAATATCTCCCTTATTTGTATGTTATATCATTCATGGGAGATGTATCCAATTCACGGTGACGAGATATGGCGGTGAGGAGCAGGTCCCAAATCAAATCCGCTCTGTGAGCAGATCGTGATGAGATCTGCTCCTCACACAACGCCTTACAGGCACATTTATCATGCATTTGAAATATCTCTCGTGAATAATAATCAATACGGAAGATATACTCAATGCATGATAGAATGTGCGTGTGAGGCGCCAGGCGTAAGGAGCAGATCCGGGTTCATCTGTATTTGAACGATTTCGGAGTTCGGATTTCCTCCTCACGCTCAAAACAACGATGGACAAATATATTGGGGTGGTGGGACGCGATAAATGCGGCCAAGCGACGATCTGCCACGTGCATCTGCAATGTTCAGTCTACGGAGGGGGTGTTTGATGATTCGATGGTGCAAAGTACTTTACGTTATAAAGAAGTTGAGAAGGCGAACAGTGTGTAGGATGCTCGGAGATCGGCTGAGATATTCACAATGCAAGGCTAAAATGATTGTTCGAACGGATTTTGATTCATATCACGATCATCCTGCAAATATAATCGTCAAACCGTGTCGTATGATATCACAGTTGCAGATTCAAAGTTTTCAACTTTATGAAATTCATATGAGCCATCTAATCAGTACGACTGATCAGTACAACAGGTGGACCATAAACTTGTGGTAGTGGTAGTTTGATTGGTGAGAGAATGTGCTTTTTATTATGATACAATACCAACCATCTTTCTCACTTCTCAGCATCATCTGACAAGTCAACATCCATCCATCCATCCGTTTTAGGACCATACCAATTCTAGGGCTGACCCACTTTTTGTTCCGTCGTTATGGATGATACCCCATAAGGACCTCCTCGACGAGATCACATGTCCGACCCACGAGCGGCCTCCTCACAACGCCCCACAGTACATCTCCGCCCTGTAATATACGAGAATCGATAATGTTACCATCAGGAGATGTTTTTAATACACGGCGGGTATCTACTGTAGGGCATTGTGGGCCGGCCGCTTGTGAGGCGGAGATGTGAACTCCTCCTCGACCGGTACAATTCCACAAGGTGGACCCTCCTTGTATTCCGATCGGTCGCTTCTTACACTGTATAATTTAGAGATAAAGAATAAAACGTAAAAAATAAAAATTCCCCTGAAGTTATACATAATCATAAAAATCTCTCCTATACTTTTATTGTAATAAATACCTCCTTTGAATCTTTGAATCATGGTTTTTAAAAACGAATCGGACAGGGGTTCGGTTACCGGTTCGAACAGTTTGATCGTTTGGGCCAATCTATTCTAACAAAAAATAAAAAAATTTAAAAGAAATAAAAAATTTGGGGGAAAACAAAACTGGTTAGATGACCGGTTCCTAGTTTTTCCAGTCCAACCGTTCGGTTCAGTCCAACTTTGAAAACCATGCTTTGAATAACTGAAACAAAAAAAGAAATGTGAGGCCAGACCCAATACAAATTTCTGAATTCCATTGCAGATCTAAGCCTAATTAGTATTTGCAATGGTCAATGGTAAAATCTCACATTTTCTTGTGAAAACTTTCTTAGAAAAACATTGATACTTCTCAAAGTAAAAAGGCAAAATGATCTTTTATCAGAGTTTCCTAAATTCAAACGAGAGATTATGAATTTGTGATACGACAGAATGAAATGTTGTGAAAGAACAAGTTGTTCTTTTATCCAACAAAACTGTCAGACAATGCATTCCAGCTCCACACAACGTTGAAAATGATGATCTCATATATATAGAAGGTTTCATAAAAAGAGAATAATGCTAACTGAAAACCAAGGCAGAATATTCTTTTAGAATGGTGATAGTGCAACAAGGTTCATAGTTCCATCCAAGAAGGGCCTTAAAGCTTTTAGAGCTTCAAGACAAGAATTTCTCATTCGGAAGAAATTATGACGGTTTCAAGAAACTCATTTTGCATACTCGAGATCTCCTGAACATGTTCTTGCACATCAATTTAGAAGGTGTTGTCAACGAGTTCACATCAGCTCTCCCACAATGCCCCTTAACACATTCCGACCTTGTATTGGGAATATCTCCTGGTGACAAGTACGGGAGATGATGAGACATCATTGGGAGATGCTCTCTACAAGGTCAAGATGTCCTATAGGGCATTTTGGGGTGCTGATGTGAACGCATCAAGGTTTTTAAAAACGAACTGGTAAGGGGACCAGTTTTCGGTTAAGCGGTTCAACCGTCTGGGTCCAACGGTTCGACCCGTAATGTTATAAATAAATTAAAAAATAAAAATATATTTATAAATAATAAAAATAGCATAAAATTAAATAAAAACAGAAAAAAATACAGAATTAATGATTTTGGGGAATTGATGACTTCGTTGATAATTCTTAACAAGGCCAGAGGAGAAATGCCGTTTTCCAGATTAACAAGTTCAAACTTTTTGGGGAATTGATAACTTCAGTTGATGATTCTTAACAAGGCTAGAGGAGCAATGTCGTTTTCTTTTCATTTTACCTAGGGTGAATTTCAAGAATGAGGAGATTGACAAGTTCAAACTTTTTGGGGAATTGATGACTTCAATTGATGATTCTGAACAAGGCCAGAGGAGCAATGTCATCTTCTCGGCTTTTCATTTTACCTGGCTTGCGAGTCAGCACGGCATGGCCCACACTTTGCGCGGACTTTACACCACTACTTCTGTATGTTCAACAAAAGTGGGCTGGGCCGTAGGATCAACAGGAATATATATCTCTCCCTCCCCCTTATCATAATAAGCCTTGAGGGGCTCCTGGGTACTTTGATTTCAACATCTTCCAATCTTCCCAGGTGGCAGCATCAGAAGTTGGTGTTCCTTCCCATTGTATTAACATTTCCACTCCAGCACGGTTGCCCTTCTTGACAACCCTTCGGTCCAGGATAGCAGTAGGTTGGGCCGTTGGGGTAGTAAAGTACCATTAGAATTGAGAGGTGGTAGTGTCTGCAGGGATTGACAGTGGGCTCCTATTTTCTTTTTGAGCCAAGAAACATGGAAGGTGGGGTGGAGCCTGCACCAGTATGGAAATTCTAGCTTGTAAGCCACCGGACCTACTCGCTCAATCACTTTGTAAGGTCCGTATAATCGGGCAGCTAATATTTGGGGTTTCCTCAGAGATAAGCTACTCTGTTAGTAAGGCTGAAGTCATAAATACACAATCACCTACTTCAAATTCGCTCTAACTTCTGTCCTTATCTGCCATCACCTTCATTTGGTTTCTTGCCTGATTAAGATTCTCCTTGAGTTTTGTCAACACCCGGTCTCGTTCCAAGAGTTCGCCTTCAACTGCTTGAGTTTTTGCAG